CACAAACTCTTTAGTTTAGGTGGTTGAGCCTACTGTCATGTGGAATACTTATTCTTCAGGATAGTGTATTATATGTCGTATCGCGCTTAGTTATCTAAACTATTCAATATGTGAGACTCGTTTGGTTTCATTTATTTTAAAATTAAAAAATACTATTTTTTTAAAAATCAAAATTACATTTATAAATATTTAAATCCAAATTCAAATCCATTCTATCATTTTCCAAATTAACGGCCGACAGCTTGTTGGTGACATGTGGAGTCTGTGTTGGTGGCTGTGGGTGATGTTCTTGTTGGTGGCTTTGGAGGTTTGTTGGTGGCTGTGGGTGATGTGCTTGTTGATGGCATGTGGAGCATGTGCTGGTGGCATGCGGGTGATGTGCCTATTGGTTGTTATGGAGGCTGTGTTGGTGGGTGTGGGTGATGAGCTTGTTGGTGGCATGTGGAGGCTTGTTGTGTTGGGCTTAGGTCTGTGGGTTGGTGGTGGATGTGAGTGTGTGTTAGTGGCTCTGGAGGCTGTGTTAGTGGCTCTGGGTGATGATCTTGTTGGCGGCTGTGGAGTCTGTGTTGGTGGCTATGGGTGTCCGTGTGGGGTGTGTGTGTGTTGGGGAGTGGTGGCTATGTGTTTGTGTTTGGAGGGGGATGGTGGTTGTGGGTGTTGTGCTTCTGACTAGTGATACTGTCTCTTTTCTAGTTGACCTAAAATATTTTTGTTTTTCCTTCTCTTTATTAATATCGTGATGGTAAAGCCCAGAGAAGTTGCCTCATCAGCAACGTGGGATAAGAAAATCAAAATAATATTTTGCAACCTTTGTTTTAAAGAGATAGAGTTTGAAAATAGACCCACCACTTATTTTAACAAAAAAAAAAAAATCTGGCAAAATATTACGAAGAAGTTTAATGAAATGACAAGAAGGTATTACGATAGGTTCAAATTTAAGAACAAGTGAAATCAGTTGAAAAATGATTGGAAGTTATGAAAAGAACTAAAACAGGAATCCACAGACTTGGTTTGGGATCCAATCAAATGACCTATTGATACTTCGGAGGAGTGGTGGACTAAGGAATTGGAGCTCGAGACTTGCTTTTCCATTTTTTATCCCTCTAATCTGTTTTTAGTAATAAACTTTCCCGTATGTTGCAGGCAGTTCCAATCCCCAAGAAATTCAAATTGTGTGGCATCGAGCCGGACCTGGAGGATAAGTTGGACCGTATGTTCAATGGGATTGTTGCTACGGGCACACACTCGTTCACCCCAAGTGAGCAAGGGTTTGCAAGCATACCAGAGGATTTGGAGACTGAGCAGGTAAGTGGGTCAGGTAAATGACCCAACCTAAACCAGGAGTTGGAGCCCACATGTCAGTTAAAGCGGCCAAAGGTGGAGAAAAGGAAAAAAAGAGCCGCTTTCATTAAAAACAAAGTAACAAAATTGATGGAAGCGTGCACAATTTAGGCTGGTACCTCATAGGACACCTCCATAGATGACTTTCTTCAAGTTCTGCAAATATATCTTGAAGTTATGTCTGATAAGCCGCTCTATCTGAAATCCTTGAAGTTGCTAAAGGATTCGACCTGCAGATAGATATTCATGAAGTTGCCCCCGAACTTCGGGTCGACTATGTAAGTTTTTTTATGGACAATTGATTTTGTGGAGTTATTGTTTAGTAGTTTCGGTTTTTTTCTATTTGTTTCATGGGTTATTTGATTTGAATGTTTTCCTTTCTAGCACGAACAATCAATATATTGCTGTGTAATTATTTTTGCTCATTATAATCCCAACAATTTTTAGATATTCTTGTTAACATTGTCTGATTCACACTTATTACCTTAACATAACACTTCTCTAAGATGGATACAAATCGACTGAGCCTTACAAGAAAAATCGCAGCGACTATGTTTTTCCTGTACGAATATTACAACACCAACGCCTGTCAAATTGTCTGCATGACATCGAGTTATATTGATGATAAATGGTTAGTGAGCTACTACAAGGACATCCCACAAGGTTGAGTAACATGTTTCATATGACAAAACCCATATTTTTGATTTGCTCGATGAACTACATAGTCATCATGGACTTCACGACTCCTCAAGAATCTCAACAAGAGATGTGTTATCAATAATTTTCTATATTTTATCACAGAATAAATCAATGAGAGGAGTGATAAAGCAATTCTGGCATTTGGTAGAGACATTTAGTAAGTATTTCTCAATGGGTTTGAAAGCTTTTGTCAGTTTGTCGGCAAAGATAATTTAGACAGAGGATCCAATATTTGAGATGACTCCAACAAAAATTGCAAATGACCCACTCTCTATACTATTTTTTAAGATAATTCTTCCAGACGTCAAAATGAGTTGCATAGCAATTATAACTTTAACTGATCTGACAGGACTGTATTGGAGCAATTGATTGAACTCACGTGGATGCGCGAGTATCCAACTATGAAAATGTCGCATACATTGGCCGGTGTGGATCACATACACAACATGTGATGACCGTATGTGACTTTAACATGTACTTTATCTTTGTGATAGCTGGTTGGGAAGATATTACACATGATAGTCGTATTTTTGCTTATACAACAAGAAATTGGAGACACAACTTCCCTCACCCACCTCCAATTTGTTAAGCTATATATCACATTCGTTTTTTTCACTAGTTTATTTCTAATTATGGTTTTTGGGTCAGGTAAATATTACTTGGTCGATGTTGGATATCCCTTACAAAGAGGGTATCTGAAGCCATTTTTAGATACGAAATATCACATTCTAGATTTTGAGAGATCTAACGGTGGCTCTCGTGGCAGGAAGGAAATTTTTAACAAAAGACACTCCTTACGCGGCGTAATTGCCAGAACGTTTGGAGTGTTGAAGAAGAAATGACTCATATTGCGTGATATGCCGACTTACCTATTTTCAAAATAAGTGCAGGTTGTAGTAGCCACGATTGCGCTCCATAACAAGTGCATCATTCTATGTCGGATGTAGACTTCACCTTGACTGACGATGATCACTTGCAGGTCCCGTCAGAAGCATTTAAATTTCACGTAGGACCACAGCCAAAAGTGGAATCACTGGAAGCTTACCGCCAAGATGGCGAAGGTGCCACAAAAATGGCTGAATTGAGAGAAAGGATAAGTGACACTATTGTTTCATGTTAACTGGACGTCTCTTGTTTATTTTATAAACTCTATATTTATTTCATGTGACTTATATTCTGAATATTTTTGGTTTTGCAATTTTCACATGTTTGACATTGTTTTTTTTCCATTTGAGTTTTAGTCATTTTTTTGTGGGCTTGTGAGGTCCATGATGAGACTTTTGATCTCGTGGGTTCTTTTGGATGACGTGTTGGTCGTTGTTGATTAGTATTACATGTGAAATTCTAATGAAAACAACTAAGTTCATCTCTTCTTTTTGGTGCATCGGTTTATGAGATTCTTCTGGATGGTCTTTTTTGGTGATATGCACATGCGAGACACATGAGGTTCGCTTTACGTGGGTTGAAGGCAACTATTAACTCATTTTTTTATAAGATCTACTACCCTCTTGTAGTGACAGATTCGTTAGTTGGTATACCGAGTTCTCTGAGATCTCAAGTTGCAAAAAAGTGTAATTAATTACTTATTTTAGCAATTTCAACTTATATTATGACTAATGGATTGTTTTTTTTAATCATTCAGAAAAGATGAGCTATAGGATTTCAGGGACCTCTCAATGAGTGTCCAGCCACTGCGGAGTGCAGACTTCTCTACTGACATCACCTTGGACAAATAACTACGGGAGAAAGTTTTACAGGTGCCCATGGTGGGCAGACGGTCCGAAGAAGTATGACTTCTTCCAGTGGGCAGACGGTCCGAAGAAGTGTGACTTCTTCCAGCGGACAGATAGTCCAGCTGATTCCATTGTTAATAGTGATTGGAGTTGGATGGTATCCCTGAAGGACGACGTAGCTTGTGACATACGCCGTCTGAATTTTAAATATAATTTTATCATATTTTTAATTTTAATTTTAATAGTTTTTTAAGTACACTTGATACTGACTATGATGCGAGGTGTGTATCTTATTTTTTCTATTATTTTGAAGTGATTTTGTACTTCTCAAATATCAAATATATTGATGTGACAGTTCTATTGCAAACAACATTACTGCACTGGGCATAATGGTAATTTATGTAGAAATAACTGCAAATCGACTGTTTTCAAATAACACAAACCAAACAGTCAACCAGCTTATCCGGATCAGCTGTCGATCAGCAGCTTATCTCGATCGACTGCTTATCAACAGTTTATCTGGATCGGCTCGATCAGCAGCTTATCTGGATCGACTGCTTATCAACAGTTTATCTGGATCGGCTTTTTCAGTAGCTTATTCAATATGCTGCAACTGCCCCAAACAAACCCTTATTCTAGTTGGGTAGGTATTCATTAGCTCTTGTACCTGAACTGCTCAACTTGCGGTCCTAAAGTGCGGAGTTAAACCACAATCCACAGAATGAATTATTTAATTTAGTCAATCTTTTGACTTAGAAGGAACATACATGCCAAGTTTTTTGGAAAGCTATCGGAAATTGCCGAGCACTTCTATATCATAATTCAACCATTTTTGGTGGAAAGTTATGGCGTTAAATATGCCCTTTTTTATTGTTGTTTATTCATCTAAGTTTTAGGCATTCCCTTTTAGGCTGCCAAGTATAATATATATTGTACATATGGTCTCTTACTATGCTAGTTTATTCCGTGCAAGCTGCTATTAGAGGGGTCCCAACAAGTGAAAAATTAGAACCACTTTGTGCTCTGTGATATGGAAAGAATAATTATTTAATTTATTTGTAACATTTAACTCCTAGTTTCCTAATATAAGTATATTGAATACCTTTTTCTTGCATTTAATGTTGCATCTTGGTTGTCATTGGTTGGTATCTAATACTTTGTGCTGCCATCAAACTTTATTTTATTCTAAATTGCACTGTGATATCTTTCCCATGAAATTGGTTGCAGGTTTACCTCGAGGCACCAAACAGTGAAAAAATTGCCGAGGCATTACGCTTGAAGGTGAAAGTTTGCCGTGGCACCTATTTTCCATTTGTTTCTCTCTGGTTTGGAGTTTTAGGATAATGGAAATTTTTCTTTGAACGGTTGCTTTCTTGTTCCAACCTTCCCAGCTATTTTTTTCCAGAAAAAAATCATATTAGCTTTGTATGATTTTGCTGTTTTTCTCCATGTGCTTTTCCCCCTTTTTTTATAGTAAATGCAGTTACAAGCTACTTCACTTATCATTTTGGCATTTTCCTTTATTTTTTGTGGGAGTCAGCAGAATTGACTTTTTAAGAATATTGTGGTCATACATTCAAACAACCTCTTCTTCCATTTTGTGCTCTAAATCTGCTGGCTAATAGGATTCATTGAGATTTTTTTCAAGTAACCAATAGTGGTTGTGTTCTGTGATGACACATCATCATTGGGTCTGCTTTCTAATATGGACTCATGTCGGATGCTAGATCTTAGTTCTCTATATCCTTCTCATTGCGGGAGTATTGGTCAAGTAGATGTTATTATTATTTTCTTCTCGCATTCTGTATTTTGACCAAACCGTCCTGAATCATCATATCAACCAATGTTTGAAATATCAATTTTATATTATTTTCCTTTTTCAGGGTGTTCCTTATGTAATTTTCTGGAAGAATTCATTCACAACTTACCAAGCATGCCATTTCCGCCTGGCTTTGTTTTCAGTTTTAAAGTGGTATGTCTTTATTTTTAGTACACCGACTTTAAAAATGCAAGGCGGCATAAACTTTTTTTCTTATAATTATATTCTTTTCATTTTTGCCGGTAGAAGTGGCCATGCATGGGATGCATTTCAATTTGCACATGCATCTTTCCGACTGTATTGCTCTAAAACTAAATCTATTCTGCCTTCAAGCTGCCTACAAATTGAAAGAAAGTTTTGCCCTTGTTTCATTGGAGACGCGCCTAAAATTCATGTGAATCCACATGAGAAATCCACGTATGATGGAGAATCCTCTGCATCTTCTCTCCCTAATATAAAAATACATGATGAGTATGTAAATGTAAAGTTTCTGGTCTGTGGAATGCCTTGCATATTGGTAAGCTAAAGCTATCAAGTGGTACACTTCGTTTCTGGTTGGTTTTTTTTTACTCAGCTTCCAAAATTGTTTATATTGCCGTCATTGGCTTTTTACAGGATGCATGCTTGCTGGGCTCTTTAGAAGATGGTCTTAGCGCTCTCTTGAACATTGAAGTAAGTGTTATGATGGTTTGGGATTATTTTATCATTTTGTATTGTTTTCAAGTGGTTGGTCAGTTTCATAAGTTAGGTATAGATCTATGTTTGACTTCTGATTTTGTCTGCATTGTAATTTTTTTTATTGTATTGTTTATTTCTTTTCTATATTATTTTTCATTGCTGATCTTTATGTTGTCTTAGTGGGTGTTGTTTATCAATCCTGGTTGTCACAAAGTGCGTTTGCAAGTTGCATCCCATAATTTTGACCACTTTCATTGTATTGGTGCTAATGGTTCAATCTCGAGCTGATTTGAAACCAACTCAAGATAGGCGAAGTTGTTTGGTCCCATTTCTATCTTGTTTAAGCTTTGTAACAGGCTAACTTGATTTGATTTGATTCAAGCTTGGTTTAGCTCATCAAATTTGACTTGATCGAAAAACAAATTTTATATTGACCAAGTTTTGATAATTTATTACATAGTCTAACATTTGTATACGTCTCCATATAAAAATATATGCATCTGGATGCATGCATACGTTTATGCACAAGTAGTGGAATACACATACTAAATATACATGAATAAATGTAACATGCATATACAGTTTAATTTGACCTTGAGTTAGCTTGGTTTGATCTAGGCCCGGTTTTTTAACTTGAGCTAGACATGTTTGTAAAAATGACTCACCCACACACAAATATATGCATATATTTGTGAATGGTTGGCATTTGTGGATATTGTGTTCAATCCCACATTAGATATTTGAATGATATGTTGGTATTTAAATACATGTGGTTTTCTCTAATCTTTAAACTGAAGTTTTTTAATTGAAAACATATTTACTTATTGTTGTATCTGGATCTACTCCATATTAGCGGCGGATATAACAATATTTCTTAATGGGGTAGAAATTGGCTATTTTAAAATGCTATTACTATTTTTTTATTGATATTTATAACTTTAAACTCTAAAATTTTTTATAGAGGAAAAAATTGAATATTTTTGTGAAAAGAAAAAAAGATGATATATAAAGACATCTTAAAATTCTTTAGGGGCAAATGCCGCATGCCCCATTATTGCTACCCTTGTTTGGCTCCCCACACTACCTAGTAAGTTGTATCAGAGCTGATCATTTAGCTTGGATTAAGTGGTTCTTGCAATTTGTGGCTCCCATTGTCTGTCTTTTCATCTTAGTTAAGAGTTAAGCAAAGGTTTAAGAGCTGTTTATGGCAGATTTATGTGGTTGGGTAGGCTTTTGGTCATGGTACTGGATGATGTTTCTATTTGGGAGGGAGTAATGGTCGATGTAGAGAGCTTTCACATGAGAATGAGATTTTTAAGGACTGAGGGTATCTATGACTAGTATTATTATCTGCTAACTAGGGTTGACCATGTAATCCCAATCCCATCTGCTAAATTTCGTGATCTTGATATACTTGTTAAGCTCGGTTGACAAGCCAATAATCTTGGCCGCAAGCTTGGTCAAATTTTGAGCTAAGTTAAACACGTGCTTGGTTTTCCCTATTTCTCCTGGCTCCTTAAAATTTATATTGTACCTAACTAGTTAGTGCAGCCAATACTTATCTGGTCTAAGATAGTAAATGCTATGCAATTTTCTCAATCTTATTCAAATGGAGTTTTCTTTTGTTGGATATTTATACTTAGCTATTAATGCTCATTTTTTTATGGGTTTATGAATAGGTGTTAGTTTGTTAGACTTTTTTTATCTATATATACTTAAAATAATGCAATATACATGCTATTTATCATTTTTTGAATGGTATGAATACCATAGAATTTGGCTTTTTATATCAATAATAATTGTGACCATAAACTGATACTAGAGTTGACCCAATTCAAAATAGATGTAAAATATTATTGCAGAAGAGATTACAATAGCGACACTTGAACCAACAAAACAATGACACAACACCGGAAATAAATGATAAACAGTACAAATAATACCTTATGGTGAGGACAACGGTGCGGGGTGGTGGCTAGACATGAGTAGAGGCTGGCTGAATGTGGCAGCTGTGACTGATGGAAGTAGTGTGGGCTAGCAGCATGAAGTGCTGTAGGTAGGGTTCCGCTGAAAGGAGGAGGGACCCCGTGGAGAGGCCAACGACCATAAAATAGGGCGCGTGTTGAGTGGCAGCAGGACAATAGTGGG